TCCCAGCAGCGTAGCCTGTGACGCGGGACATGTCACTTCTCTCTGCGCCTGAGTTTCCTCAACTGAAAATATCTCCCATTCCACCTCAGGGGCTGAGGCACTTGAGAAACACCCCGCCAGCCTCCCATTGGCCTCTCAACGAGTCAGGACACAGAAGCCCCTCTTCAGGTGCTCCCCAAGTGGATAAGGCCAAGGCCCAGAGAGAAAAGCCATCTGCTCAAGGTGACACAGTGACCCATACCGGCCGGCCACCTCCCGTGATAGCGGTGCAGATTGGACCTCAAGTCGCAGTCCCAAGAGGGGAACAGAGGCCGGGCATGCTGATGTCGCTGGTCTCCGGATCCCCTCCCTGCCTGCCACCCGCCCCTCCCCCACCCTGCCCTTGGGTGTCAGATTGCTGACATTTACCAGTGACCCCAGCAGACACTTGATCTCCAAGTCCCAGCTGCGCAGCCACGACACAGACCCACCACAACACTCATAGCAAGCAAGTCTTTCCACTTAGGGCCCACCCCGGCCACGGGTCTTCCTGCCCCCAGCAGCCCTCCACGCTGACTGGCACTGGTGCCTGACCTGAGATCCCTGGTCTGCCCGACCCCATCTCCTCCCAGCCCCCACTGCCCCCGGCACCCCTGAACCCTCCAACACCAAGAGTCTGGGGTGACCCTTTCTCATGCTGCAGAAAACCCTGGAAAGCCTAGTTGGCTTCTGAAGGAGCCAACTGGGTGCAGAAATCCAGCCCCCGGGGGCGCCCAGCCCCTGCCCCACCCGGGGTGCCCCGGCGGCACCTTGGGGTCCTTCTCATAGTAGTACTGCTGAGTGCGGATCCAGCGGCCCACGAGGTGGTCGCGCACCGTGTGGGCCAGGGCGAAGTAGTAGTCCCGCGGGGTGGCCACATTGCGGTCTTTGACGAGTGTGAAGTGGAGGTGCCGGTTGAAGTTCTTCTTCAGCTCGGAAACATTCTCCACACCGGCCAGGCCACGCACGCTGATCTGCTTTCTCTTATCCTGGTCTGACAGGGGCAGGGACATGGCTGCGGGAGGGCGGGCCGAACGGACGGCAGTGGACAGGCGGGCCGGACGGACGGCAGTGGACAGGCGGCCTCGGCGGTGCCTCCAGCCAGGGAGCGGAGAAGCCCAGCCGCCCGGGGATTTAAAGCCAGGTTCCGGGCACCGCGCCCCACCTCCCCAATGGGAGGGTCTTGGCAGCCGGACAGAGCTATTTTGGGGGCTTGGGGAAGGGAGAGGGGCTGGGAGAGCAGGCCCAGGCCAGGCCCAAGCTGGCTCGCCCACAGCCCCGTGCTGACCCACTTCCTCCAGGCTGGAGTACAGGGTCTCCACCCCGCCCTGCGCTTGGCAGAAATGCTGGATGGACAGGCCCCAGGCTTGAGGGAGCTGATGGGCTGTGGCTTGCCGAGGCTGCCATGAGCTGGGCCCTTCTAGGGGCGCTGGCAGGAGCCCCAGCCCCTGCCAGAGTAGCTGAGCGTCCATCTTATGCATGTGCCCAGAAACTGCAAACCATGAGCCCCATGGCTCTGGCCAGGCTTCGAGGCCCTCTCCCCCAGGGCAGTGGGCAGTGGGATGGGGGTGTGGCCACTAGCTGCGTTTGGGGGTACAAGGAGCCAGGGCTCCCTAACAGCTGAAGGGCCAGGGCCCCTTAGCAAGAGATACTGCTAGCCGAGGATACAGCGTGGCTGAGATCTAGGGGGACCAGGGCCCTGGACTTCAGGGGCTGGTATGGGGCAGGTGGCCTAGAGGCGGGGCCACTGCCCCCACCCCACCCCCACTGAAGCTCAGCCACACTGATCTCCCCCTGTTGCTGTCCCTCAAGCAGCTCCAAAATGACCTTTTGAGCTGGACGGTCAGATTACAGGCCACCTTTGGCCAGGAGCCCGCCAGCCTGGAGCAGGGGCCCCTGGGAACTGTGGTCTTAGGGGCCCACAGCCCCCACTCAGCCGAGTAGCAGCCAATGGTATTAGGCCTCCTGGCTCGGCAGCCAGGTGCCTGAAGGTCTCCTCCCACCTGGGGCTGGGAGCTGGGGTTTCCAGCTGCCCCAGCTCCCACCTGCCCTGCGAAGTGGGAGCCATCGCACCCAAACCCCGAGGCTTGACTGTTGTCATGGGCAGACAGCTTCCGGCCTGTCCTTCTGGGGTTTGGCTGCCCCCCATCTGGTGCAAGTCCTGGCGCTGGCACCGACTGGCTGTGTGACTGTTGGCTGCCTGCTTTCCTCTTCTGAGCCTGTAATTCCTGCCTCATCCAGCTGCTCCCTCCCCTCATTGGTGGAGACATTCTTTGGGCCCCGCTGTTCTTTGAGCAAAAGGAGCCCAGGGCCTTGTACTGTTTCAAGGGTTGCCTAGGCCTCCGGGGCTGTGGGCCAGCTGAGGAAGAACTGGGTGTTCCACTCCAAGGGCCAGGGAAGCGGGTCAGAGGCCTGGACAGCTGCAGGGTGCTATTCAGCTGCGTTTGGGGAAGGCCAAGCTCCTCGGACTTTCTGGGCCCCATTCTGGAATTTCCAGTTCAGCTCTGGCCCAGGCTGCAGAGCCAGGGAGTCCCAAGCCCTGCCCCAGCCCTGCCCCCAGGCAGCATCCCTGGCTCCTGTTGGCAAGATGGTGAAGGCACCACATCCAGGTGCAGGGGACCAGACACTTCCTACACTTCCATGTATCTTCCAACTTCGTTTTCGGTGACTTTTTTTGTATGCTGCATTTTAAAAACGCTTAGCTGCTCCCTGGTCCTTTCCATTTCCCAGCTCCCACCCGCCTAGATGTTGCCTTGGAGGACAGCTGAGCAGCAGGATGCTCCTCAGTGAGGAAGCGCTACCTCCTCACCCCCCAAGGTGGCCACAGGCTCTGGCCCCACAGGCCTTTGGGCCATGCCTGCCTGGGAGGTTGTTTCCCTGCCCTTAAGGACCTCACCGACAGGCCTCCCCATTTTCTCGCCCCACTCTCCAAGTTCAACGCAACCCTTTCCCGTTGCACCCCATCCAGTCCTGGCCCGCCCTGCACTCAGGCACTCAAGCTGGGGACACTTCTGCTGGCAGATGTGTCTGTCCGTGAGACTTGTTTCTCCCACTGGCTTTGGGTGGCTCCTTTCCAGCTTGGTCGTGCCAGCCCCACTCACCTGTTCCAGGCTGGGCTTCCAGGGGCCCTTCATCCTGCAGGCCCAAGCCCAGCATGATGCCAACCTGCAGGCACCATCTGACCACCTTCTCCTCATGAAGCCCCCTGCTCCAGCCTCTCTAGGGAACATTGTGGGACTCGAAGCTCAACTTGTATCTTTTTGCCTAGAACTGGGGTGCAGGCTAAAAGTGGGTGTGTGTGTGAGGGTTCACCAGAGTTGGAAGCAGAACAGGCAGATCTACTGAGGGGAGCAGCAGGGAGAGGTCTGCTGTGCCCTGTGGGTCACTCCCTGCTGGGGATCAAACGGGGGCTGCAGTAGTGATCGCTGGGTAATGGCTGATAGCGCAGATAGTGGCCTCAAGCTTAGGCCACCAGGGAGGCCCTGAGCGCTCACTCTGCAGCCTGAGATCCAGATTACGTCAGACAGGGTCTGTCTAAGCAGTAGTCCTGCCTCCTTCCCTGGAACAGCTCAGTGCACTTGGCTGGGTTTCAGTGATGAAGCCTAATACTGACCTTTCCCCACTGGCATTCCTTTCCCCAACAAGCTCTGAGGGGGTGGGGAGGCCTGCTGCCACAGCACAAACAAGAGCAGGGGTCAAGCAGAGGCGGCTCAAGGCTCCAGGCTGCCGACAGCCTCTTCTCCAGCGCTGCCCTGAAGGCAGGTGCGGGCAGCCGGGGAAGACTCGCCTTCCCTGCTGCCTCTCAGGGCCTCCAGGTGCTCGGAGAAAGGCAGGCCCGAGACCAAGGCCTGTCACTCTGTCTCTCTCCTCCAAACAGAACAAAAGCTGGGCTGGCAGCAGGGAGCAGAGGAGGGAACACAGGAGGGAACACAGGAACGGAGCTGCCCCAGGGGAAGAGCGCGAGTGAGCTGGGCTGTGGTTAAGTCATTTATTGATTTTATTTCTAAACCCACATAGCGCCACTTTGCCTCTTCAGAGCTTCAAGGAGCTAATTAACCGCCCAATGAGCCCACCAGGGGAACCAGGCTTGTGGGGGAAGCAGTGAGGTGAAGCCAAGGTCAGAGTGGGCAGCCAGCCCTGGGCCAGGCCCACTCACCCTTTAAGGACAAAGAAAAGACCTTTCCCCCCCTCGGAATTAGCGGCAGGCCAGGGAAACCCACAGATCGCCTCGCCTCTAGGGCTCCGTTAACCTCTGCCGGCCCACAGCAGACGGGCCTGTGAGACGGGCCAGGACATGGGCTCTGCGCCCGATGCCCGGCAGCGGAGGCCAGAGCTGTCCCTGCAGGTAGGTGCCGGGGACAGTGACGGCTTGCAGGGGCGGCACTAGATCAGCCCCCACCGGGGGCCGGGCACTGGGCGCTGGCTTTCCTGCCGCCGCAGCAGGTGCCGCGCACTGCCCCAGACGCGGAGGGCGAGGGACCCCAGGCCCTTCGTTAAAACTGCTCACGAAACAGCCGGTGGGGACCATTCTCTCCCGCTCCACTCCCCAGAGCCTGCAGAGCTGGCAGGCTCCGAGCCACCAGCAGAGAGAAAAAGCCACTGGGTTTTAATTTTAGCTGCTCTGTGCCCGACAGGCAGGATTAGTGGGCCTGACCTTTAGTGCTAAGACCGCCCCTAGGCCAGAGCCTTCGTGAGGTGGCAGCTTCCAGGCACACACCATCCGCCGTGAGGGTCCAAGCCCAGGGACAGGCCCCAAAGAGAAGGACCAGGGATGGGGGTGCCAGGGAGAGAAGCAGCTTCTCCACTATTACGTAGTAAACAGGGGAGACGGTGGAACGCCCGCGCCCAGCTGGCGCTGCAGCCACACAGAGGCTGCCGGAACAAAGGGCCCAGGGCTCCCAGGGAGAGGGGCTGCCGGGCCAGGTGCTGGCTTCAAGTAACTTTGGCGTTGCTGGTGGGAGGGCAAAGAAGCAACAGACCCAGAAAACCACACTGCTCGTTTATTCAATGGGACACCCCCTTTCAACGCAGCTGAATCATACACGGAAAAAAAGCCCAGAGCAATTTCTGCAGATAAACCAGTGAAGAGAACGCGCATTACACATTATTGTCAACATAATCACTCCATGGAGGGAGGAGCAGAATGAAAAACAAGGGGCTCAAGCCCTCAGACACTGCAAACATTCAGATGTTTGGGATTAAAATAAAATCGAGAAGGCAGTCTTCCAGGAAGGAGGGGAACAGATGGGGGCTGAGGCCGCTCAGCGCCTGGAGCGAGGGGGCTCTCCGGCCACATACAAGCCGGGGCGTCTAGGGCTGCCCCCTGCTGCCAGCAGGTGCCAGGCTGGATGTGGAATCCGGGCCTGGAGGTTAACCTAGGACTCACGAAGGGTAGCAAAGGCAAGACCGCGTGGCTGGAAACTAAAGATCCTCGGAAGTGGCCACGGCACCTTCAAATTCTGAACCCTCTAAGGAACACCCCTCCCCTGACTAGCCTGACAAGAATGGCCAAACCATTTGTTCCCCTCTCCTTGGAAAGAAGAGGACTGGAGAAAGGGAAAAGGAATCTAATTGCAGCAGAAGACCGGGGAGAGCATCTCCTTGGACGGAGTCTGAAGAAAGGAAGAGATAAGGAAATAACAAAGGAAAAAGAAAAATTAATAAAAATTTCACGATATGGAGCCAGCGTGTTCCGATTCCGTCCACAAAAATAACTCAGGCTGCTTTGCCGAACCATCCTGTCCACCAGGGGCGCTGCTGAGGCTGTCTGCCTGGAAGGGTCACCAATGGGCGCGGAAAGTCCTCACTCTCATGGCTCGGGCCATCGCCGCCGCGGGGAGGGATCCTGGCGGCCCGGTTTGGGAAAGGCAAAGGGAGTTGGGTGAGGAGAGAAAGACAAAGAAGACACTCGATGCTACGGGGCGCCAGGAGAGCACCAGCTGGCGCCCCTACTACCACCTGCCCGTTCCCAAGCGAGTCCTCGGCCGCTCGGCCCAGCCCGGTGCGTGCACACACACACATGCGTGCACACAATCACATGCGTGCGTCCCAATGTCTGGCTCCATATGGTGAGGTTCGGCGTGTGTTTAAACGAGACCAATTCTCTCTATATATAATATATATTTTCTTTAAAAAAACCGAGTCTAGTTCTGTGGTGGAGGCGGTGGGGGAGCTGGAGGCATCCCGAAGGGCGGCATGCCCGCCACCCCCATGCCCATCATGGTGACAAAGTTAGAAGGGTCCATGGGAGGCGGAGGAGGAGGGGGCGGGGCATACATCATGCCGGCGGAACCAGGCGGTGGAGGCGGCGGAGGGGGAGGGGCCCCGGGCGGCAGAGGCGGCTGGACCCCGGGGGGCAGGGGCACCATAGTGGGGTTGCCTTGCATCTGAGGGGCTCCTGGAGAAGCTGCTGCAGCCGCCTGCTGCTGTTGCCATGGCGGGATGGACCCTGTGCCAGCGCTCGTGGTGGTAGTCGTCGTATCTGGGGTGGTAAAGAAGCCCAAGGTCACACGCGCGGGGGGCACACCGCGGCTCTCTGCGGCTGCTGCCTTGGGATGAGGGGGCGAGGGGCGCCTGCTCCTGGCTTGGCATGCGGTACGGTGGTGGGGGGCGGGCGGGCGGGGCTGTCCTGGTGATGGGAGTGGAGGGGTGGGCAGGACTACCCTGGGGTCAGCCTCGAGGTCTCTGGGCTTAAGCGAGTAAGCCCTTTGTCACCAGTGCCCTGGGAGGGCTGAAGGCAAGGTACCAGACACAAGAACCGGCTCTGACATCCCTCCGCCCATCCGCCGCCACCACCGAACGGCACATTCAACCTCAAGGTCACAGCTACTCTCTCCCACATCCAGGTCCCACCCCTGCAGTCTCTCAGAATCCCAGTCACATCCCTCTCCAGAACATGCATGCGCCACCCACCCTGGCCATGTGCCCAAGGCTCGGGCCAGCCAGCAGCTCACTCAGTCCTTGAGAGCCCTCTGGCACCCTAGCTACGATGGCAGGCTCCCCTCCAGCCTCGTCCCAGACACAACCACACCAAACAGCAGCTCTCCCCTCCCAGACCCCCAGGGCCACCAGACCCTTTACTTCCACCCCCAGCAGAGATCAGTCTCTCCCCAAGGTGCCTGCCTGTGTGAGCTGTGAGGTTCTCCTGTTCCTCTCAGCCCCAACCCCCCCAGCCCACCCACCCCCACAAGCCCAAAATACTCCACTCACTTTGCTGCCATGGCAAGGGGGTACTGGAAGCCATACTGCTGCTGGGCGGAGGGGGCGGCGGAGGCTGCTGCTGCTGCTGCTGCCATGGGGGAAGAGGGCCAGAGGGAGGGGGCGGGGGCTGCCCACTGGGCGGCGGCGGCGGCGGCGGCATCATGCCCATAGGCGGCGGCGGCATCATACCTGCAAGGTGGTGGAATCCAGGGTGAGGACTCCGCGAGGAGGACGGGGAACTGTACCCCGCACTCCCAGGCCAGTGTGGACCCAGACACCCCAAAGTGAGCACGAGTAACAGACAGCACTTACCTTTTCCTTGATGCAGGCGGTAGACCCCAGAGCCCACAGGCGTACTTCCCAGGTACTGATCTTGATGGAAGGAGAGAGCAGGGACTTAGCAGGACATGTGCACTGGCTAGAGAAGACGCCCACCCCCAACAGCTTACTGGCCACCGCGCTTACAGGAGGCGTTCCGGCACCTTGCCTATTAGAGGAAGGCCTGTGCCCACCCCGAACCAGTGCGGCATCACGTTCGTTCCAAAGACCGAGCAGAAGACCGGTGCAATACACCCAGCCGCTTTGAGAGCTGCTTCCAGGCTGCCGCCACCTGATGGAACCCTACTTATCCCAAAGCCCGAAGGTTTCTGGTCTGACACTTACTTACCCATTGGAGGTGGGCCATGGTGCCCAGGTGGATGGGGCCCTTGGTTCATCGGTGGCGGCGGAGGTTGCATCCAAGGGGGTGGGGGCCCATTGGGGTTGTGCTGCATGGGATGTCCACCGTGCCCACCTGTCAGGCTAGGTAACGCATGTGGGAAGCTGTGGGGTCCACCTCCGGGCCCTGCCGGACCACCTCCATGCATGCCGTGGTAGGGCCGACTCTCTGAAGGACCGGAATTCATCCAGGGTGGACGGCTCTGGGTGGTGGACATGAGAGACTACATGAGAGCATTTCCTGCCACCGTCCCTGCCTGCTCCCCCTGGTGGCAACACTGTTCTTTCGGTTATGTTGCAGGACCAGAACTCAAGGACAGGCTCTTCCAAAAGCGGGAGGCCCAAACGTCCTGACATCAACCTGGAAGAACAATGTTGCCAGCCATGTCCATCAACCTGCTATACCAAAACACCTGGCCGCAGTCCCCAGTCTCACAGAGAATAGGGACAGGAAGGCCAGATAAGCAGCAGTCCCTGAAGGCTCACCGGTGGAGGCGGGTTATTGGCAGGAGCAGCAGGCCGAGGTGCGCTGGCCAGGGGTGTGGAAGCAGGCCCAGAGCTCGAACCCACAGATGCTGGGACAGGTGCTTCACCCAGCTCAGCCATCAGGGACAAATACTCTTTATCCATCCGGGCTTTATCCTGAGCTGACTGGGGGTCACCAGGCCTGGAGGTGGGGTGGACAGAAAGGAGGGGGAAAATCTCATTACATTACAAAACCTTCACCATGAGAAATTGTTATGTGAGGAATCCAAACACCCTCGGAACAGCCTCAGCAGAGTTTCAGTTCTGTGGCCGGCTCTGCCATGACCACATCTATTCTGTTCTTACGGCATCAACAGGGGACAGAACGAGCCCCAGGCCCCGCCAGCCACACCAGTCAGAAACAAGGAGTTTCTCCGAAGTGAGGTTCCACCAACCCTAGACACCCAGTTCGAGGAACAAGGACGGAGCAACTAACTTCCAAACTGTCCTTAACACAGCCTTTCTTTCATTTGCCACCCAAAGTAGATGGCGTCGATGACTAAGAGCACACCCGGGTTGCCAGGAGACCCCCCCCACCTCACCTTTGGAATTTGCAATCGGAAGCGATGTGGCCAGCCCCTCCACATTTGGTACACACTGTGGTATTGGTGATGCTGCGGGTCTCTGAGCTCTGCCAGGGTCTTAAGATCCTGTTGAGAAGGGAGGCGAGGCAGAGTCAACTCAAGGGCTTAGAGAATCTCCCCACATCCACAGGCCTTCAGCCTCTACTCACTCCTCCCTGAACCACCTGCCTACCTGTTATCATCTTCCCGGAGGGTTCCATTCAAACGAGCCAATTCTCGAAGCTGCATCTTTCGTAGATCATTCTGGTCCTCAGGGGTCTCAATACCCTGCTTCAGGATGTTTCTTATCTAGCAAAGGTAAAATGGACAAGATTAGCGAGTGCTGGGATCACCACAGAGGTTTCTGGCCAAGTTTCCTTTCTGGCCCCCTCACCTGCTCTACAGCTTTCTTCACATTCTCCATAGTGTTGGCGGTGACCAGGGCATGAAGTGGTTCGTCTTCCCCTGGTAACATCTGGCCGTCTTTGCGCCCAACTTTCCCTTCTTTCACAGACCCCTTGCCCCGGATCATAATTTTGGCATTGCACTCCTTCTCGATGTTCTTCAAGGTGTTTCCTCTATCAGGGGCAGAAAGACAGGCTTGTTATCCCGACAGGCCACTTCACACCAGTCAAGAGGGACAGAGGGGGCACTTCCCAGGCACCACAGGCGCAGTTAGATTTGCCCCCAAGTGCCGTAATCGCTAAGTTAACAACAGGCACAGCAATCCTCAGGAACTAGCTTCTCTGCAGTGAAACGGGGGTGTTTTATTAGAGACTTTCTCACTAGCCACAGACACGCACCTCCCCAGCTCTGAGGAATCCTGTCCCACAGGCTGGCTAGCAGCGACTCACCTGGGCCCAATCAGCAGCCCCACGAAGTTGATCTCGGGATACTCATCTTGCGGAATCATGACTTTATCGCTCACACGTGTCGCTGGAGGTCTAAGGGAGAAGAGACTCAAGGCACTGCCCACTGCTGAGACACCAGAGCCAATAGCTCTCCCAAAACTGACCGAGTGCCATGTGCTAATGACATGGGGCAGCGGCGAGATGAGAAGTCAGTGTGCCAACACTGTTACCAGACCACTCATGACCTGCCTATGTCCTCGCCCCGGGTGACCTTGTCCCGTGCTTACTTGTAATCTGCAGGCGGCTTGAAGTCAGGGTTGAGCGCAACCATCTCCGTGATGAGGTTGTGCCGTTCTTCCTCAAGTTTTTTGCGGGTGCGGAACTCACGAGTGTTAAGCCGCTTCCCCTCACTATTGTAGATGGGCTCAGGGGAAGGGGACCTGTGGGAAACAGACCACTGTTACTGCTTTGCCTTCACTTTTCTCTCATCCCCACATGGGTTATAACAAGTCTTCCCCAGCCCTCTGCCTCTCAGACCCTAACAACACTCTTCGGAGGAACCGACCGTAACGTGTGCTACTCAAAATCGTGTGGAATGGGGATGTGGAAGCTGGCTTTGCATCAGGGGACTGGGGGTGTGTGAGAAAAGGGGGAAAAATGGTGTTGCTTCTAAAAGTGGTGAGAGGGGGAGAAAAAGTCTGTCCTTCCGGGAGAAAATCTTTGGACTACATGCGGCAAGGACAGTATCTTCTGGAGTGTACTTGCCAAATACGGATTTTCTTTCATTTGAAAAAAAGTTCACAGTATCACCACCTCACGAATCACGGAAACCCCACATTTAGGCAAAAGGTTCACTCTTGCAGAGCTCACGCCTATCAGGAAGAGCCTGCACCCTACCACATAGGAAGTCTGAGTTCTAACCCAATGCGACTGGGACTCGGGGTACTGCAGCTACTTGGCCCCCACAATGGAGAGAGATCGTTCAAGGCTTCCGTCTCTGCTTTTCCTTCAATGGCCTGGCTGGCTGTGTCCAAGGCCCAGGAGGCAACCTGTTTTCTGGCTGTGCGAGGTTGGGGAGTCTGGGTAGAGAAAAACGTTAAAGTGCTAATAAAGCAGCTTCTTCGAGAGGCTGCAAATGTAGATTTATTTGGTCAAGTGCTTGTCTAGGGTCTGAACCTGCAAACGGCAAGGGGAAAACCTATGATTCTCCACCAGAGTTTACAAGTCCAGAAAGCAGATTTTCTCTCTCATTTTTTTTTAAGGAGTAAAATGCTGTTGCTATAAGTAAAAAATAGTAATGATAAAATGATCAGTTTACCACAGCTGGATTTTTGCGGTAAAAAAAAGAGAAGTTACATTCCTAGAATTCTGAGTTAGGATTACAAAAAGGACCATAGCTTGATATTCTGAATGAAAATTTAGTAGCAGCTGCAAGAAGGGAAGAGACCATGTGGATCAGGTTATTAAAAAACATCCTGAAAGTAGTCAAGACTCCTATACCCTTGGTTTAGTTGAGAACCTTGCCTAGTTGGTGAGCAAGGACTGAGCTCGGCTGCTCCCACTGTCTTCAGCCTAAAGGGAACCATGTCACACCACGTTACACACACGATGGAATAAAAGGTCAGGTTTGTTCATGGCTAATGACGGCTAGTGACACCTCCGTTTCTAGCATTGTATCAACTGTTAGCACAATCCAGTAATATTGAACAAAAGCAAACATACCCCGGCTCATTAGTCTATTATCTTATACATTTAAATCTACAAAAAAATTTAAGACATTTTTAACTGTGCAACTTAAGCAACATCAAAATGGCATAAAGTGGCTTAATATTGAGAATACACCTTAAGAAATAATCTTATCAAGGTAAGAAATTCATGCATTTCCCTCCAACCTGGGCTCAAAGGCAAAACCAGTCAGGCACTAGGGCCACTTTCAAACTGAATGCAAGGGAGGAAAAAGCTGTGCTCTGGTTTTATTTCTAACATGCTCAACATTTCTAAGGCCCACCCCACAGCTGTCTAGAATAAGCATTTTTGGCTAATCACCAAAACAAGCTGTACCGGTACCAAATTGGTCATTAATGACCTCTTAGCAGTTTTAACACCTTTCCAAATTGTGGATGTGAAAAGCAAAAGCTAATATTCTAGGTTATATTGGCCCAACTTCTTCACTTTGGATAGGCATTGTGTACTTCAAATAAATTCTAATCCCAATTCTCCAGGAAGCAAGGTTTGTTAAAAATTCAACCTTTTGAGGAATTGCCTGGTAACCTGTAGACATATTAGAGGGAAAAAGGCCAGAAAGGCATGAAACAGTTGTGGTCTACAACCTACAATGCAAAAAAAAAAAAAATGTGTATTTTTCAATGTCAAAAAGAAATATAAAGCATAACACAACCCTCCAACCAAAATTTACAGGTGAAAAATAAATTTATAAGTAAATTCAAAGTCAATATGGAGAAATACATTAGTTTCCTGGCAAAGAACAGAAAGATGCTTGAGTGGGTGGCTTCTGAAACCATTACATCATCTTCCTGATTTAACCAGCTATTAAGTGGGTAAATAAAAGCCAGAAACACTACTTTTTTAAAGCAAAGTGTTTTCAACCATGCTGCATGCACTAAGAGAAATGTTGCTGAGGGAGGTTTATTGTCCTTGTGTGAAGGACCAAATTTTAGCTGTTACAAGATCAATCAATAAATTCCCGTCTGAGAAGCTCATTTCCCTCAGAGCAATTTACTTATCAGAAATGAGAGAAACTGTAAATGCTAATGAAGTGACCACAGCTGTTTGAGGACCACACTCCCCTTTAAAAAAGAAAAAGGAATTCAGGGTGGGTTGCTTGCCTTCCCAAAACAGGTGAGAATATTCTGGCCCCTCAACACCCCCAGGCAATGGCCAAGGCTGAAAATTAACTGGCAGTGAAGGAAGTTGGTTAGAAATCTCATCTATTTTAAAACCATCTCAAAACCATGAGCAGGAAGACTGCAGGAATGAGCTGACCAGAATGAGTTTCTGGCCTGCTCATATTCAGTGATGCTCAAAAATATCCTTAATCCCTGCACCGTGTACCTGTGAGAAAAACCCTACACCCTGGGTTTGCAGCCAAAGCAGATACTGTAGAGGCTGGTTCATAGGCTACCTCACTGACCCTATCAGCAGGTAAATCAGGTTAAAATTTACATGCTTACCAATTGGAAACCAGTTGTCCATTTTCCCGTAACTTTTTATCCTGCTAATTGTTTCACTTCAGATTTCTAACTGATGCCTGACCAGACAAACTGCTAATTTCCCTAGTCCCAGAATGGTCAGAGCACCAGTCACCTTGCTAGGATTGTACTGAACTGACACAGTATGTTGCCACCAGTAAAACATATTGAGAAAAAGGTAAAAGCGTTACTGTCAGCTGGTTAAAACTGTTTCCCAACCTGTCCTCAGGGTTAGGGGGGATGCCCAGGTCTCCTGTGCGCAGTTTACGAGTCAGGTCTTCTATCTGCAGTTGCACTGGAAGAAACCAGGTTAGGAAAGAAAAAAAAGGATGGAAAAAAGACAATGTTACCAAAAAACATCTCAAATCTCAACAACAAGCATGAAGAACTCGGAGACTTTGAAAGGGACGACTGATCAGTGAACACATTGAGGCAAAACTCCCAACCACCTAGCGGCAGGAGTCCACTTACATCTATAGGTATCTTTCACTTCATGGTCATCATTAAGGAAGCAAACAACTTGTTGGAAGGAGTTAGCAGTAAGACTGTCCCCTAGGCTAACATCAAAGCGATTATCAGGAGGTGCGCTTCACCTCTCCCTCCCAGCAAGGCTTGCTATACAAGTGATACCCAGAACCAACACCGCGTCTATCACCAATATCCCATTCCCACCGATTACTCTCTTGAGGGCAAGACTCTTCAAAGTTTATTTTTTATTAAATATTAAGATAGCCCAAAATGAGACCCAGTTAACATGGGACCAGGAAAAATACCAGTTGACCGAAGATTTTTCATTGATACCAGACTTAAAATTCCGTCAACAAACATTTCATTACCCATTCAACATCTCACAAGTTTGTGCGTACTTTCTGTCCACCAGACCCACACTAGTGAGGTTCTCCCAGGACTTGCGGCTTTTACTCCAATTTTAGATGACAGTTCATATACCTTAATGATCAGTAAACACAAGATGCAAAAAGTCTGTTTTCAGACTTGCTCCTTATGTGGGAGTGAAAGTAAGGTGGAAAAGGATGGAAAGTGTGGGTTAGGGAGAATGTGTGACCCTCAGACCTTGACAAATGAGGCTGTACATGAAAAAGAGACAATGAAGGTTTCACAGAAGTTCAGTGACTCCAGAAGAATGTCACACAGCTGATTTCAAGTTAAATGCAGAGCAAAGCACTTTCTTCCGTGTGCTAATAAAACCACCCCATTTCTTACCTGTGTTGAATCTGAGCTTTGTGCAAGCTTCTATTAAGCACAATCTTACTGGGCCTGGTTAAAAGTGAGTTGGCCCCAAGGTAGATTAATGCACGTATAACCCAAGATATGCTTTATTTTTAAACACACTCCATGCACCCAAACGCCAAAGAAATGAAAATCCCTGTCCACATCAAAAGATACTAGGGGCATTGTGTAGCAGGCAGTGAGTGCACTGTGAGGCAGGTATGGAGGAAGACATGTAGCCTCCCCGAGTCTCACAACTCCAGGAAAGTACTGACTTTCCAATCAAATTATTAGTATTAAGTTCAAAGAGTCAAGGTGAGTGTCATGGGGCCTAGACAGTTTCCTCAACTAGACCTGTGGGGTTGTGGGGTCTCAGGTGAGGAAATACCTGGCACTTTATCAAAGGGTGGTGTCTCCCATGGAGTGGAGATGTACACCAGTCTCTACTTTGACTGTATCTACAAAAACCCCCTTAGGACTCAGGGCATGAACTCCCTCCACAGGAAAAGACCTAAGACCTGGAGAAGTAAAGAATGAATCTCCCCCAACCCTATTTTTTTTAAGTTTGCCTGTGTTCTTGGGGTATCATATCGCTAGGGCCACTTTCATAAGGTTGTAAAGACCCAAATCAGTCACATAAGACATAAAGGTATGGTTGAGAACAGAAGCAATGGGTAAAGAAGAAACATTAGTAACTTGAAAGGAGGTAGACAAGTCCAACACCTCAAAATTCTCAGCAGTCTAAAAAAACACAGGAAATTAAGATCCTCGAGAGTTAACATGCTGGCCTAGAAGCTTTTTATTTGTGAAGGCCACAGCCTCAGAAATAGGTGGCCCCTGTCCTAATTGACTCCCAAGGGGCTATTTAGTAGAAAATGTTTAGCAAGTAAACTTTCTGAGAAAGCCGCAGATACATATGTAAAATTTGCATTAAATACCTAATGCTTAAAAGGGGGGTGGGGGTGGGTAACTGAAGTTCCTTTCAATCCCATGTGGACAATCATTCTTAACTCTTGAAATTCCCAAGATGTTTTTCCTATCCTTGTTCCACATTCAAACAGTATTTCTTTCCCAGCAAGAGTTGTGAAGCAGTAAGCACAAGAGCCCTCATGTTAAGATAGCTCTCCAAAGACCAGACCAGAAAAGATGCTGAATGGAAGGTTAAATTCACCAAAATAGTCAAGAGGGGTGAACTGTACACACCATCTTAGAGCCACTCTTTGATTACACTTCCCCCCTTTTGGAAAACACCTATAAAAAGTAAAAGACCACATTTTAGGGGAGGAGAGAATATGAAATTATGGTGAAAAAGGTACTTGCTTTACAATACCTGCAGTGTTCTCCACTGGGGCTGTGACCAGAGAACCATGAGACACTCACTCACCTCATCAACTGGCAGTGAACAGCAGCTGAAAGGGGGGGGACATGGGACTACTCTCACTCTTAAGTGGGTCCCTCTATCTTCCTGGTACTCATGGAGAACACGTATTAAGAACAGACCAAAAAACAAGAGCTGCAAATGTAGGACTCGCTGAGCAAACACTGACAATTACATTGAAGTCGTGAAAATAATCCTGGCCATATCTTATCTCAAATAAGAAAACCTCAAACTTTCAAAAATACAAACATTGCTCAAATTATGAATCATCTCAAAACAGATTTGGCTGCAGAACGTGTATTTACCTATATATGCTCGCTCTTGCTCCCGAGTGAGTCCGGGGGGAATAACTGTGGGCATCCCTGGAATCACTGTCTTCTGTTCCATCGTATCCTGGTTCCAGCGGCTTCTCTTCCGCTTCTTACTGGGGAAGTCTAAAACAGACGGAGCCCATCAGACGCAACAAGACCAGTGCAATGATGACAGTTCAGGTACTTATGACACACACCACTTCAGCAGACTGTGAAACTAAGAACTCGACGTAAAATTTAAATGGCAAAGAATGGAAAACAAACCTCAGAAGGAGAGATTAAAGCACACGGCTATTGCAAAGGTAGCCATGGGCTTGGGATTGAAAAGTTAAACATTTCACGTTTTAAATTTTGGCCAAGGCAGTTCTGTGAAGTATGTGATGTAAACAAGGTAGCCATCTTGGTGAATAAACCTTCAGATTATAAAACGAAGTAGTAAGATAGTTCCTACGTGTCAACCATTAAAAACCCTAAGGCAGTCGAGTAAGTCTAGTGATCTCAGGTAGGGCTGTGAACCGAGGGATGCTGGCTCCTCACTCCCACCCTCTGAAATGGGCAAGAACACAAACCCCGTTACATGTTACTAAGTGAAAAAACCCATTCTTCAACAAGACCACTTTTTTCTTCGTAAGCTTGGCCAAGTGTATCATTCAATATGGCCTCAATGGATGTCAAAAGCTCTAAAAAAAAAACAAAACAAAACAAGCTATACAACAGGAGTCAAGCCCTCCTTTTTCAACACACAGGCAACAACTCCCGCGACAGGGGCACGCAATAATCCTCCTTCCCAAAGGGCACAGCCCCAGAGGGAAAAGCCTTTTAAGTCAGCCCGGTAGAAGCGGGTGAGGCTTCTCCACGGTAACTGCAGGAACAACCAGAATTCCCTCCCAAAGAGCGAGCCGCAAAGTTCAGCCCGCGAAGATTTTCTGAGGTGAGGACCCTGCCCTAGGGTACAAGAGACCGATCCTGAGACCCTTCTCCTCTCAGAACTCCTAAAAGCAAAGAGGTGCTCCACGTCACCTGCAGGCCTTATCACACCCTCCTGACGTGCCCCCAACACCCCTTCCACCCACTCGGCACCCTCCTCCCTGCTCCCGGACACCAGGGGTCTGGGGAAGCAACCGGGACACCCCCGTTGTAGGCCTGGCCTGCCAGCCCGACCGCCACACTGCGCCTGCGCACAACCAGCCACTTTCCGCCCTTCCCCCCCACCACCCCCAGCGCGCG